CTGCTTTTTCTGCTTTTTATGTTGCTCTGTTCTGAATACCTTAAAATTTTAAGAATTTGCTGCAAGGCAATTTTGTATGATATGTTGATTATTTATATTTTTTATCCATGCAGCAAATGCTTTAAAAAACGGCTTTAAAATTACTTTCTTGCATTCCAGACACTTTTAAAGTACTTTTCACTATAAATTTTACGGGTAGCTTGAATGTAAAAATTGTCACGAATTCGTTTTATTCCCATTTGTAAAATAGCCAACAAATTCATTGTTGTAGGCTAACCCGATCTCATGAAAGTGCGTATAGCACGATTTTCTGCTTCTATCTGGCGTAATATTTCTATGCAGAAATATACTTTGGCATCCAAAAGACTGATAAATTCATAATTAACGGCATGGGTTCAGTCGACAGAAATACGGGACACACAGGCCTATAATAACTGCTGAAATGTTTGCGGGGCAAATCTCAGATCAGTCTGAGCGCTCATGACTCACAGTGCGTACAGCTGTACACCTGCAGGCGCCACAGACTCGGACGGTTGTCGTGGTAATAAACACCGTAAACAGCAAACGTTTGCCTGTCCACGCTTAATGCGCATATCCTATATGAAAAGCATTTTAGGGGGCCCTTGGCTTTTGGGGGCCCAAGGCGGTCGCCTACCTTTGCCTAATGGGTAAGTCCGCCCCTGAGTGTAACTCATCAAGACTGAAATTTTAATAAGTAAAAACAATGGAGTAGTGTAAGGTCATTACTGTTCAGCTGTGTGTCTAAACAGTAAACTGGACAACATGTGCTGCCATTAATCAATATGCTGCGCCAACTTCTGTCTGACAGACTTGCAGCCTTTAACAGCATAGATTCTCTCTTCTTTAGGGAAGTAAGGCATGTCTCTGGCCACTTCATCTGCTAGATCAGAGTCTTGGGTGACGTTCAGGTGGACCATCTCAACCATGACACACTGACGCACATGCTTCAGCTCCAGAGGTAGGAAAGGAATATAATGATCAACCAGATGCTCATCTATGATATTAGAGTGCAGAAATCCACCTGTAGAAGAGTGGATTATTTGAAAAGTTATTTATGGAGTAAATGCAAACACATACTCAGGTTTGGGCAAAATTAAATATATTAATTTAGGAAACAACCACTGAAAAACACATATTGATCAAGCACAAAATATATTTGGAAAGTATATAAAATGGGCAAATAATAATATATAAGTAAATAAAATGTATTAAAATGCATTATTGTTTATTTTGAAATATATATAAATCATTTCAATGCTCTTTCAATACACACTGTTCTTATCATTGAAGATGTTTTGAGAGATTTTAATCTCCAGTTCCTTGCTGTCCATCCATAAGTTTTCCCGAATGTTGCCTTCTCTCCAGAAATCCAGAGTCACTCCAGTAATTACATCCCCACCTGCATTACTATAAACAAACAAGCGTATCATCAGTTCTCTTTTGGGAGCATGAAGGCCATTTAATTACCATTGTGTTTGAATTTTATGTAGCTAATATGTCTACAGCTGCATTTAAGGAAAACCATAAAACAAAACCCTGATTTGAGGGCATCACCTGAGAAATACGAAGATTGCCTTGCGGAATGACACTCCATCTACACGGGCATTGTAGTCTAGAAAAGGTTTTATGGCATCGATCAGCTGTGGATGCATCTTGTCCATTTCATCAAATATAAACATGGAGCGGGGAAAACGTGATACACTTTCATGAATCCACTGCTTTAGCTGTGCCTGAATATGCAGAACATGCAAATCCCATTTGAAGAAATTACTTCTGATATGTGCAACACTCCCTCAGGTCCCTCATTTTACAAAAATGATATTTTTAATAAATGAATACTGGGCGAAAAATGCTGTCAGTTTAACAGCAGCATCATTACTGTGTAAAATACTGAAACTGTAATGACCCAAATCCTCAACTATCCCGCTGTCCTGTGGGCTATCTTACACCTTAAATCTGGAGCCCGACCATGGTAAAGAAGCAATAAAAGTGATTGCTAGAGTCTTAGGCAAAGACTAAAAGTACTACCATTTATTTACTTACACTGTACAAGTCTAACTTTTGTTTGTGTGGAAAATGATGCTCAGATATAAATGTGTGAACATGCTTGCTGTCTTCCCCTTTTTCGTACACATTTCTTGCGATGATTTTAGCAGCATGATTTTTTCCAGTTCCTGATGTCCCATGGAAAGAGAGGGCCAGCGGTTTGTTTGGTTTGCTGTCAGTCATAAATGACGACACAGCTCTTCTTATAACATTAGACGCAATGTGCTGTCCAAAGAAGTTTTCTCTTAAATCTTCCTCCAAACCTGAAAGATGTGACGATAAGTGAAGTCGACAAATAACAATGTTGTTATGTTTAAGCAGAGTGTAGCAGGCTGAAAAAAATGTAAACCAGCCAATTCAGACACTTTTACCACAATACAAATACAAATAAATACAATTAACAATAATTTCTGTAATTAAGAAAGGGAATTATTATGAAGTCTGGAGTTTCATTTAATTTCTAACCCTCTCCCTTTTTCATTAATGCTGTTAAACACTTTACTTTAAAAGAGGATTTATGTAGTAGAACTATTTGACAACATATATGCAATGCTGGGCAGTAACTGATTACATGTAATCTGGATTACGTAATCAGATTCCAAAAATTAAGTACTTCTAATTAGATGATATTACATTTTAAAATGCTCATAATCAGATTACACTAATTTATAGATTATATGATTACATATTATTCACACAATGGCAGTACATTTATTTATATATTTATAATCTGATTTGCCCCAATTCATCTTTTTTCTGTCTCTCTCTTAGATTTTCCTTTCTAAAATTCTACTGCTTTTATACATTTAGAGTCTTCCAGCTTTTCATCAACTCACAAACCCCCTGCAGTTCATTCACGAATCCCTGGCATAATGTAATGTTAAATACACTAACAAAGAATGGAATATATTTTTTAGGTCAAAAGTAATCTAAAAGTAATCAAAAAGTAGTCAGAATACATTACCTAATACATCGCCTAATTTGTGTAATCCAATAAATTATCATGTTACAAATTATAATTTCCGTCATGTAATCTACCTAGCACTGCGTATATGTGGTACCCGGTTGAACATAATCATGTGGAAATGTGCTGTCAACATCATTGCTGTAGTTTGGGAGAAAATATTGCGTTTAACCCTTTTGTACATTATCGTTATCCCATTTACAATTAAATAAATACAATTACAAAATTAAAAATACAATGTAATTGTGCTTGTTGGGAAGTTATTCGACAATCTATCTGTTGGAAACAAAGAAAACAAAATTGACATTTGAACCATAAACAACTCCTAAATATATCATCAAAACATACACAAAAAATGATTGTGATTTTAACAGTAAAAGACTGTAAAAATGCTACAGTAAAAACCTGTTAATTGGTTATCAGTAACTTTCCATACTATATACGGTGAATAACTGTAATTACATTTAACGTAATTTTACAGTAAAATACTGTTAAAATCACGTTTTTTGGAAGTGAATAAGAAAAAGTCATTGTATAATTTACAGTGAAAAACCGTAAATTGACACTCCCAGAATTCCCTGCATGACACTTCATATTTTATGTTTTTTCATTGAAATATCATTCTTATCAGTTGTATACATTAGGGTTTTATCTTACATCTAATGTTGTTAAATAAATGTTTACTGCATTATTTCAGTATCGTGTGTGTTACCCTGATGGTGTTTAGTGTTTGTGTGAATGACACTGTGCACCTTCCACC